GTTTCACACAAGACAGATACAAACTTTATAAGATTTATATAGATCTTTTCCATATGGGTTAACATGTTTTAATGCTTTGTATCTTGTTCTGTTTAATCTGTACAAGCTCCTAAAAAAGGCAGTGATCACTGTCGGCCTCTCTCGGTTTTTATTACCACTGTTAAAGCTCAGTTTTTAAAACCTTACGATGTAGCTACAGCCCAGCCCATGCAGCAGTAAATTAATGACTAACCTCGTATTGTGGATGGATTATCTCAGTTGTTCTCCTGACTGAAGTTTGGTCCGTCTGCAGGATCCTGCCATGCATTTGTCTCTAACCATTGAGTGGAAAAAAGTTGGCGTTCATCTTCCAGCTTCAGCGTGTTTATATTATGCTAACTATAGCTGTGTAGCTAGCCAATGCATAGCACATCATTATATACGAGCTAGCCCAACTTCAGTAACCCTGTAAACGTCACTACTGTTTAGTTTTCTGTCTTCAAGTGATAGCAGAGCTAAACGTTTACATTTTTCCCGCGTACCAGTAGAGGGAGCCCACGTACCACCAGTGGTACGCGTACCACAGTTTGAGAATGACTGCTCTATACTCTATGAAGTAAAACCCATGATTCCCTATGATTTAGTAGCTTGTATGATCTTTGAAATACTTATTTTCTGTATGACTTCATCAGTCTCTCACATGGTTATGGAGAATTTTTAACTCATTCTTCTTTACAATGTTGCTTCTGTTCATTGAGGTTTGCAAGCATTCATTCATGCACAGTTCTCTTAAGGTCATACATGCACTTGCTTTTTGCACAGGGTATGAATGTTTCCAAGCACGTTAACAAACACGTGCCATTTTTTTCCTAAACTGTCCTGCCATGTTCTTTTTAGAGAACAAGTCGGAGCTTTTTTTCTCAGAGCATAGTTTGGCCTTGGGTGAAAATTCTGGGACATCCACTTTTGGCATTGCATCACCTGAATGATCAGCAACCTGTTAAAACTTTGCTTTTACAGAGGTGCTCACACTTGCTGATGATCAGTGAATCAATTACATTTAATCAGCAGCACCTGGCTGCCGCTTACCCTCTAAATTCCTGTTGAAGCAGTAAGGGTGTATGTACCTAATTAAAATAATTTAGAGTGTGGTTAAACCTACAGTATAGATTTGGACGGTTTGACTTGTACAGTTTGGAATTTAACTGTAATTGCCATAAGAATGAACATTCTTCATGCGCGTGGTGTGTCATGCAATAAAAAGTTTTGAAACCGTGTTCAAATTTGACAGACTTTATAAGTAACATCATCCCGAATATGTCTGAGCTTCTAAAGAAAAGCTGTCAAGATAATTCATGAGAGTAAAAGCATTCACTTGGATCTATGAATTAGTAGACAGTCATTTGTGGCAGGGAGACAGCTAATAAAAGGCAGCATCTGTCTGTAGTGCTGTGTCTGTCAGCAAAAAGGCCTCACTTCTCTGGGGACTGATGAAGAACCTTAATTCTGGGTTTTTGTTTTGATGATTTATTTATCTAAATTCACAAACACACATCAGAGTTGTTTGCACTTCCGCTTTCTTTCTTTCATATTGCCTCACATTTTTGTAATACTTCATTTTTAGGATCAGTCACAATCTTATTTGCATAATTTCTTTAACACAGAGCTGTTGTGGAAAATAGTCCACCCACATTTTACATGTCAGATTGTTGATGCTAATATTTTTAAGTCCTTTTCTTTTGGAGAGATTGCAGGCTTGAACTTTGTGATGTTTTTGACACACTTTGACCTGGAATTCACATCTGTCAGAGTTACATTATAAGAGAGAGGCATAGATTTCTGTTCAGGATTTTTATATAAAAATACATACTATGGGTGAATTCAGTAACGGCAACAGCTTCCAGGGTAAAAATAATCTTAAATCTGTATTTTTGGGCAAATATTTTCTCACTGGTGATACTGTAGATACAGTTTTTGTGTACCTATGACAAATTAAATTTCAGTTAATTTATGTAATGCTTCAAATTAATTGGACAGATAAGAGCCTGAAGATATTTTAAGATGGGTTCTGCATTGTAAGGCTTGGTTCTGTATAAACATTGACTAAATACAGCTTCTGCTTCAGTTACAACAGCCCATAAAGGAGACCAGATAGCAGTCAGGACTCTTGTTGAATTCTGCAATCTGCCGGTTACATTTGTGTGTAATTGTCTGCATGTGACATGGAAAAATGCCCAGTGGTGTTTAGCATTGACTAGTCAAAGCCACTCTGCCCAGCTTGACGCTCCCATTGTATGGAGAGAGCAGGCTCATTTGCCAAGTGTTAACTGCTTTCAGTTCACCGTTCAGAGTTGTATCTCATCACCTGCCATGGCCCTGACTCCTGAAGGCAGCTGTCCAGCAATCTCATTTATCTCAGCTTCCTGTTGAAATTGGGTTACTGCATCCCACGAGGAGCATCTTTTTATGTTCCAGAGATCTATGCTTGCTCAGATAAAATAATAATTTAAAAGGATTTTTTAATCCACATCCTCAAACTTTTTTAAGTCTCTGCTTTTAAGTATTGCATGAAAAACATCAAAATTGCATTCCCTTTCCCCCATTCTGAGATGCTGCAAGTTACTGTAAATGGAGGTTAGTTAGAAGAAATTGTTTTTATTATTGTTATTAATCACATGATGCATTTCCCTCTTCTGGCAGTGTTTTAGGTAGATGTCACGGCAGAAACATCCCAGCAAGTGCAGCAGGGTTTGAATGACCTGCTGCAGCACTTGTTGCGTGTAAGGTTCATATTAGAGTTATAAGGTGCTTAAAGGTGCTCTTTGTAGGCGGTCTGACATTTGCTGGCTGTCACAACCAATGTGCTGCTGCCATCCCCAGACTTGATGAGTGTTTGAGTGGTTGTCAGACAGTTAGTCATAGGAGATGTAGGCTCCCTGTACTTAGTTTCTAGCACTAAAATATAGGAGGTGCTTTTGAAACATGAGGTTCTTAAAGTCTTTTTCACGTGTGAACTTAGAGTTTCAGAAAATCAGGTTGTGAAATTTTCCATTTCTGTGTCCTCACATCTATCATGGCAAATAGCCTGCTTCAGACAGGTTCACACAAGTGCAAATACTGGTTTAGGTGAGCCCACTGCCTGGATGGAGTGGGCAGGAAGCAGCGCGCTTGCTGAATGTACACCGTTAGCTGTGTTGTTCTCACACTGGTGCAATCCGAAATCTCGCGGACATGTCAGGTTAAACGTTTGATACCGTTGTGTCTGACTTTTGCATTCTCTGTCTAATGATGTCTAGAAAAGTTAGAAAAGCAGAAAACTTAGATATTTGGAAATTTCTGAGCATGTTAGCGTGAGTTCAGTGATTCATTTTTTATTTTCTATTTTTATTATTTTTTAGTTCACGGTTAATCAAAATTTTCTTGCTTTTTTTAAATTGAGCTTTTTAATTCGGTCCTGCCTTTATTTTTACAGCTGAAGACATTCTTGGATATATTGTCGTAAATGATGTATGCTCATATCTCTAAATGGGTTTCATAACTACCTCTCACTCCGTTAAGTCCTGACACTTTCAGGCTTCTTTATTTTTAATATTACTTTTGTTTTAATTTCTCTGAAGCACAGGGGATTGCACAGAGTCTGGGAACTAAATCAACTCAGAGCTCCAGATTCATGATATTACTCTTCATAAGCTTCACAACTACACCTAAACGAAGTACAAATTGTCATAACTAATCTCAGAGATAAATCAGATGTGCCACCTTTCATAGTGTATCTTGTTAAATGATTGTGATTATAGTTATTAAAAACTGCAAAATACACTCTGGTGGCTTAATGCTGAGGAGAGAGAAATGGGCAGGGAGGGAATAAATACAACAAGAAGAGGATTCATCTCCATTAGACAGTAATTGCCATCAGCTAGAGGTTTTCACAGATTTTAATATATAGGGAGAGAAGAGTGAGAGAAATGACAGAACCAGCTATCCCGGCATAGATTCATGCCCTCTTCAAAAGCCATTTTTTCTCAATTAATCCAAGATTTGATGGCCTGTGATTTATCCACATTGGTCAGCTTTGATATTTGGATGGCAACAATGTTGAATTATAACTCTGATATGTAGATTACAGCTACTGTTATCATCATTTCCCGTGCATTTTTCTGCACCATTAGCCTGTAAATTGAATTGGAAGTTTTTCCTGCCACTGATGGTGTCTGGATAATACTCATCATATTAATTGTTCAAATGTTCTCATCATCCTCCCATAAACTGTCTGAAGCTGGGGATCCATTTGCACAGATGTAATAATATCGGTATTCCCCAAAGCCAGGAAGCAGTGGAAACATCTTCCAAAACAAAATGTTAGTCCTCCCACTGTTATTACTTCATTTATCGTTCTATCTGCGCAGTGACAACTGCAACTCCAAAGACGAATATATTTTTAATGATTTTGGAACAAATACTGGCACTAAGTAAGAGCCCATGAGAGCTGATTGCATGCGAGCTGTTTTTGTTTTCACGACTCTAAAACTGGCCCGTATTTTCAGTTGCTGTAGCCTCACCATGTGACTCACAGAGAAAGAAAAGGTCTTGAGATAAAGAGCATTCTCACTTCAGTTTTCACTTCTTTTTTTCAAAAACCCTGCCACAGCCCTAAACTCCTGAGTTATTGCTCTGCTGCTCTACACTGTCAAAATGCTGCTGTTAAATTACCCATGGCTGACTTTTACTGATATTACCCAAGTCACCTTGATGTCACAATAGCTCGCAAACATCACAATGAAAGCCAAACGACTGTTGTAAAACTGCCAGCTACAAAGTTACCCAGACACAACATTACATCTCTGGTGTCTTAAAAAGTAGCAATTCATGATATGCTGTCATGTTTTTCCATTTCCCATTGGAATAATATAAGCTGTTAGGAATGTATAGGTAGTTTTCCACCCAAACCTTCTTTTATATACCCTCTCATTGAAATGCATTGCTTCGTAACAACCACATCTTTTTTTCATCCTGTTTTATAGCAGAGGAGAAGACTGTGAAGAATGCCGTATTATCATCTGTGGAACAGCTGGGAATCAACACCTGTCTGAAGTATGTAAAGGGATTTTCTTTAGCTCATAAACCCTTATTTAATTAGGCTTCTTACAGCAGAAGGAGAGCCTGCTGCGTATAAACTATTTCAGTAAAGTCTTAGAATTACTCAACTGTGAGCTCCATGGAAGTAACTACCCCAAAGTATCTCTTAAAAAGAGTCTAAATCACTGCGATGGGACTAACGTGCATGTACCTTAATTTTGATTTTGTAGTGTCTACATTCACAATGAATGTGAGGAGAAAGTTACATTTCATATTGGATGGGGAAAGCATAGTTAAAGACTAGAAGCTGTGTCTCACTCAGTTTGAATCTTTTTGCAGTTACTTTTGCTTCAATTAGGCGCTGATGAATGTTGACATGGTCCTAATCAATTGTTTCAATAACCGCGTCTTCATCACTGGGCTCCACATGAAAACAAGCATCACCACTTTTAACGCAGTGGTGTGTTTTTCTGCTCAACACTGACATCTTTGACTTACAATGATAATAGCATGCTGATGTTCAGCAGGCATAAAGTTTACTGTGTTCAGCATCTCAGTTAAGCATGTAAGCATGCGGACGTTGGAGAAATAGCACTAAAGAGAAAGTAGAGCTGATGTTGAAGATGTAAGTTGGTTTGGTTTTAACAGAATAGCAAGGCTCAGTCATTAAAGTGGCCGTCGGAAAGTTAATTGCATAATCTTACCACCCTGAACCTCCTATGACCTGGCTTCAACAAATGTGGGCATCACATTTTGGGTTGTGCACAATACTAAACTCTATAAGGGCCTGATATCTGTTACGAGGACATTATACTGCCATTGTTCTATCGAAATGTAAAACAAATGTCCTCAGATGTGGATTTCCAGCCATTGTAGAGCAAAATCAGGTAAAAAGATAATTCTTTGTTTTTACATTCATCAGGTCCAATCAGTCCAAATAGCAAAGAGAAATTAAAAATTCATGCCATGAAAGAGTTCGGTTCATAGGAGGTTAAAAAAGAGCGATCCCACTCCCTCAAGTCTAAACATTTCCTACTGACAGTGCTTAAATTGAGTCTCCAATTGATTTGTGATATTTTTTTCAAGAAAACGATGTCTCACTTTTTTTTTCTTTTTTCAGTTTAATGTGGGTATAAGTTAATCACTCCTAACATGAGCCAAACTGGTAAAAATTTTCATGCCAAACCTTCAATTACTTTTTGAGTAATCCTGCTGACAAACAAACAGGCAAACAGAACCAATCTACATATAAGCCGCTTGGCAGTGAAAGTAATGGCTTTATCTGCCTTTAGTTTTCTTCGCTATGGGACTCCATCACTATGCAGTTCTGTTTGCCACTGCAAAGTCAAAGAAGAAGAAGAAGAAGAAGAAGAAAGTGTGTACATTATTGTACTTTATTGAGCCCCGTGGGGAAATTGCTCTCTGCATTTAACCCATTCACTCAGTGAAGCAGTGGGCAGCCATTGGGCGCCCGGGGAGCAGTGTGTAGGGACGGTACCTTGCTCAGGGGTACCTCAGGGTAGCTGTTAAGGGGAATCGAACCCCCGACCTTCCGATCATGGGGCAACCACTCTACCTACTGAGCTATCCCTGCCCCACAAAGGAAAATAAAGTCTTAGAAGAGTGAGAGTATATTTTCTGTTACTTTCAAATTAAGTATGAACTGTTTCCATCTTTCATTTTTCAAAACATCAAACCAATCCTTTGCTCTACACCTGCTAAGGAATTTGTCTGCTTTTATATCTCCATTATAGACCAAATGAATACACTCATACATGTTTTCTTTTGCTTACCCCAACTCAAACCTCTGTAGCTACTCGTTTGTGAATAAGCAATATGCAAGTTTATAGCTCATCTGGTCAAAGGACTGATGAGCTTATGTTGATAATTCACAATAGTTGTTACTCCTACTAGAGTAATAGTCAGATCTTCACCCAAACTGTGCTCAAGGTCAAGGTAACATTTATCGCTTTGTTAATACCCTGTGAATTGTGATGGATTAGGAGCTGGATGAGCTAGTACATCACTGAAGGTCTGGTTTCTCTGTTTAAAACACAACAACTGTTTCACTCTACCTTTTCATTGTATGTGTCACTTTCTTATCTCTCTGTACACAAAGGTGTTGCTTATTCTTAGCACCTACTCTAAAAAAAATGAACAGTAATCTGGTCTTGCTGTCCCAAACGTAATATCACTTGGAAAAACCAAGAGAAAGATAAAAAGGTGGCTTTTGCCGCTTTAACCTATAGCATATTTAAGCCATCTAAAAAATGTAAAAGCTCACTTTCATTTTTCAACAAGCTTGTGAACTCAAAGCCGTAACATTAGAATTCACCTCGGCGTCCACTCGCAACATGAATTAAAGCTGCAAATGTGCACAAAAGTCAAAAAGGGAGAAGACTGAAAGTTTTTTTTGTTTCTCAGTTCAGCAGCTGGAGACACTTTTGTTAGCAGACATTAGGAAAATTGTCAGAGCTGACTGATGTGAGATATATAAGTTGAGTCAGTTTTTATTTTTTACAGCACATTAATACACCCTTAGCTGACCGAAGTGCAGTACATGCTATACTATAATTAACACTCACTAAATCAACAATAAATTTGCACTAAAATACAGAACAAAAACATAAAACATCCTCAAATTAAACAAGAATGAAAACACAACCGTGCTTGCACAATAAAAACTAGGAAATCATGCTCAACTGAAAGCTGGAGAAATTAAATAGGTTTATAATTGTGTTTTATAATGACTGAGTGACTGGGCAGGTTGCCCCTAAATATAGAGGCTAACATCGAAAAGGCAGTGTGGCCTCTGTTTTAGAGCCTGGATCAAGGAACATCCAAGATCAGTTGGTCTGTAGACTTCAGGGCTTTGGCACAAGTGCACTGCTATAAGACTTCAGCTAAGTAGAAAGGCACAAAATGGTTGTGAAAAGCTGATCCTGAAATGGACTGGAAGCCAATACAGGTGGAATGTGAGCGCACCTGTCAAAAAGCGAGCTGCTGTGATGACTGATTAGGGCCAACCTCCAAAGAATTTCAAAAGTCTAATTAAGAGGTAACAATGTTTCAAATTACTCTCTCAAAGTCATGTGGATGGAGGTGGGCCCTAATTTTACTGAGGAGCTTTAAGTAAAAATAACCTTATCTTAACAACAGAGATAGGTGAGTTTAAAAATGCACTTTGTTGAAACAAACATGTTGCAGAATAGACAGGAATTTCATGATATTGCTGCCCTGTACTTGTGCAACTACTTGTTCTGTTCTTTATTTTTCCCACAATAGACCGTCTGACTTGTGTTACTGTTCTCACACTGCTTGTTTCTGCCTTTAACGACACCCCGCTGCTACATTACACAGTGAATATAACTCTTTCTGAGCACCTACTCCGAAGGGGGCTCTGCAGCTGAAAAGTTTCTGTGCCTGTCCAGGAGAACAGAGTGCCACATTTTTTATTCCGGTATCAACACAGAGTGCAAACATTACCCGCAGAGTGGTGGGTGTTATAGGATTAAAAGTTGTTGAACATGAAATTATAATTAATCTTTTACTTGCGACACTGGGCTTCTTGAATAAAGTTTTGAGGACTCCTCTGGGGTATTTACTTGACTTCAATGTTGCTTTATTTCTGAGTTTGATATAAAGTATCCCATTGGGCAATGTGACTTTCATGAGTGATTCTGGGAACTGAAAGAAAAATGGTCATGCTGAGAAATGATCATTTTTTTTTAAATTAATATTTTCACAGTTCATTTTATAGGTTTTCATTTCAGTAATTTAAAATGATGGGGAAATAAAAGAAGAGATATGAAACAGATGAAAAGTAATAAAGAAGTAAAGTAGTAAAAGCAGAGCTATTATTCCAACAGGATTTTATTCTTGAAATCTAGCAGCATAGCTTTGCATGTTTCACAGTTCCAGATAATTCTTGTTAAAATTTAACTCTGCATTCATTAAACCAGTTTTCTTCCAGTTGGTTGCTTCTTACAAACAGAAGGTTTGAACAGCACACATGTGGCGGCTGTACCTCAGTACACTATATTAAGGATATCCCTTCTCACTGACATAATATAGAGCCAAGAATAGAAAAAAAATGAAACAAGGTGCGGTTGAAGCTTTAGCTCACAAGCATCATGTTACAGACCTCATTATTTGATTCTTTGGCCATGTTCACTATAAGAATTAACAATGCAGGAACCCCAGCGACACTTAAAAGTATTAAGAATTATACAGGAGCTGATCAGAAATGGAAACCCGTGCCATGAAGCTCTCGGTGTTTGAGCTGGTGTTAAGGTCAGAGGATGTGTGGAGCATTTAGTGCGACTTTGACAGCACCTGGAAATTTGACCAACTTACTTTAAAAAACAAAGGAAGACTGATCTATAAAAGGTTTGCACTTGAAGATGTGTGTTTCATACATTTCATTTATATTCACAGGTATGGGATTTACCTTGGGCTGCTGAAAGAAGAAGCTGCAAATGACCTAGCTCTGCTAATTAAGCATGTGAAGATCTTCTTGTCCACACAGAGAGTTGAAACTTCATCAGAACTCAGTATCCTTTACAGAGACCATACAATAAGAATTCACAGTAAATGGACACACTGTGGCTGTAAATGTTAGTCACCCATCTGACAAATGTTCTTCTGTCATAACATTTTATTTTTGCATTTGGTCAGTTCAAAACTCGAATTTGGAAAATAAGAATGTTTTTTTTTTAGTTATTTGTGTCTGTTTTGTGTCAGTGTATCACCGAAAGTCTGCTTACCTTTGGTTGGTGAAATGATGGCCTTGCCCCTCCATGATGTTCCTGACATCATGCTGAAATTAGGTTTCAATGTTTCTTCTTCAGACATAGCGTTCTACACTGTATATGAATATTTTTGTAGAGAGCAGCAGTTTCCCCCCTTCTTATTCAGGGTTTTTCTTATAATGAACATATGAACAAAGATTGTAGCAAGTTTTATAGGTTTCACAGCGATGGTCTTTGTAGGACATCTACTGTTCAGGAGAGCAGTCATCCTGAATTTCCTCCATCTGTAAACAGTTTGTCGTTGGGCATAATTCATACCCATCAGTATTTCTTGAGCATAACCTTTTTCTAAGCTGACTTTGTATGCCTTTATTTATATGGATGAGCACCATTGCAACCCACGCATTCAGATTACTGCAGAGTAATTACTGCAGAGGTTCACTGTATGTATATAATGCACTATTATTTTAAATAAGCAAAACAGAAGTTTTGCCAACTCTAAAGATTTCACAAACGTTTTCTTTGTGGCACTCTGGCTACTGAGGCAACACTATATGTGTGTGACTGTAGTAGCAGCTATCTAGTGTCTAGTGTGAGAACGCCACAAGTCGCCCTTTTTAAAAGAAAGAACAAGAAACCGAGAGTGTCATGTCTCACGCTCTGATCAACACAATATAGATTATCTTGCTCCATCTGCTCCTCAGTGAGTAGTTCAACCTTCTTTTGTCCCAAATATCAACTGACAGGCGTCCTTTTTCCTCCAGATAGCTTCCTTTGTAAGCAGACAATTGAAACATGAAAACACAGAGAGAAGATAAAGAGCCCTCACAAATATAAAATGCTGACATTTTGTTTGTAAAGAAGCTACAGTACTAGACCAGACTGACATTTGAGTTGACAGCAAGAAGCTCGTTTTGGGTTATCTTTGTGTTTAGATGGCAGCTGTAAACGGATTTATGCTAATGTTTCTGACACAAAACACAGTGTACCTATTTAAGCTAAAAGAATTAAAAAGTTAATATACTTAAAAATTTGCAAAAACTTTGGTCTAACGTTTACCCAAAGAACTGAAGTACTTTTTCAGGTAAAAAGAAATCATTTTAAATCTAAGGTATAGATGTTGATTCAGTTAGTATTTTATTTCGAGGATTTTCGGTTTCGTTGATGGTGATTAGGTAATCGCAGATGAAAATGTTATTCGTGTCTTTGGGGTAACTGATTTATTTATAGCTGTCCGTTTAAAAATGATATCTTTACAGAATCCATTACAAATGCATGAGGTCTGTCTGTCAATCACTATCAAAGAGCATGCATTTGTCATTGAGGGTTGAGCCAGTGGTTAAGCTAACCAGCTCACACTGTTGCATTATAATTGTATTTAAGTATTCACACTGTAGTTTAAGCTTTCAACCGCTGTCATAAATTTATGAATAGAAAACAGAGACAATATATAGTTCTTTTGTTTAAGCAATTCAGTGCCGAGCAGAGATGATCAGGAGGATCTGCATAAGTTCAAAGTGAGCATCAGAATGGGGGGAAAAGGGGGCTTTACTGTAAGTGCCTTTGAATGTGGTTGCTGATGCCAGATGGGCTGGACTGAGTATTTTCAGACACTGCTGATCTACTGGGATTTTGCTACACAACCATCTCCCGAGTCTACAGAGAATGGTCCAAAAAAGCAAAAAAAAAAAAAAAAAAAAAAATTTGTCTTAATAATGCCACAGGTCAGAGGAGAATGGCCAGACTGCTTTAGGCATAAACAACATGAAAGCCTTGTATCAGTGGTTCAGCCTGCTGGTGTGGCGTATTGATGTGTTTAAATGCAACAGTATTTCTGCTGTCCGTCCCTATATGAGCACAGTGTGCTCATCTTCTGATGAGTTTTTTCAGATTGATAATGGCACTAATGTCAGTAAGCTTAGATCATTGGAAACTGGTTTCTTCTATGCGACTATTCTATGAGTTGGCTGTTGTCAAATAGCCTCCACAGTCACCAGACCTCAATCCCATAGAACAGCGGTCCCCAACCCCCGGGGCCTCGGACCGGTACCGGTCCGTGAGTCGTTTGGTACCGGGCAGATCTGCAGCAACTGCCATGCTCTTATGTCAGTATGGCCCAAAAATCTGAGAAATGTTTGTTAATTCTGTGCTACAAAGAATTAAGGCGGCTCAAGGTGTAATAATACAGTGGTGATTGTGTGACCTCCAAATATTCTTTAAATAATGAAGTTCAAACCAAGGTTGTCCAGACATTTCCTTTTTTTTTTTTCGCCTGTCCCATTTGGTTCTTTAGCCATCAGAATTGTTGTCTGAAGACCAACAAGGATACCCAATGGATTTACTTTGCCAAATGGATCATCGTGGCATTGCCGTATTGGTCCATTTGGTCGATCTTTGTTTTTATTATTTATTATATTTTATTTTCAGATGTTACAGACGGGACAGACATGAGTGAGAGATAGGAAAGGGAGAAAGAAAGAGGAAGGAAAGGAAAAACAGAAGGGGAGAGGGACAGTGAGAAAGGGGGGGAGAAAAAAAAAATCTCCTGGATCACCTGTTGAGAGAAGAATAGAAAACAAGCAAAAAAAGACAAAAAAAACAAAAAACAAAGCAACATACTAAACACAACACCATCGCATTAATCTAGCTAAGTGTAAACAGCAGTAAATACTAAATATTCAATGTTGTTGTGCAGCACGCAGGACAGATGTGCTTCGAAGTAGCAGCCAAGAAAGGTGTAATTTGGGTCTACGAGCAGTGAACACCCGTGTGCATACCTGTGTGGATCAGCGCGCTTGTATTCCAAAGGTTTCTCCATGTAACGATCTGCTAGGGAGTGTGGGGGGGCCACAGCCCCGTCCTCCAGGGTGTGAAGCACAGACATTTGTCCAGACATTTCCATTAACAGGATAAGGCAAAATTGGGACAGATTGTACCCATTTGACCACATTTCAAATCCTCACACTTTCACTGTCACCAATAACATGCCTTGCTGACTTTAAAACAGGCTACAAATAAATGCCAAACCACTCCACACATCTAAGCTGAAAAAAGATGTTTCTTCCCATCATGCACTCGCTGACATCTATAACTGATAATCAAAGCCGATGGAACTATCAGCATGCACAGTTAGTGTCAAGTTTCTGTGTTTCTGTGGATTTGGTCCTCATTATTGAGCTTTAATGCAGACAGCCATCCTCCAGTTCTTTTAACTGGGTATCCACAAAGGAGTCCCGTCTTTGCCTTTTCTTAACAATGATATAAAGAACTCAAATGCTTGTCATTCAGATGCAAATCTAAGGCAATTTCTTCAGTCTGTTACAGGATCCAGTCAAAACATGGCAAAACACGAATATGTTTCTGTATTAACAATTTTGAAATTGGTCTAAAAAGTAAGACCTTTGGGTTCTTACAAAACAGACACTTTGGGTTTCGGTTGTTTGTCCCTATCTGCTCACTGAACAGAGTTTGCTCAGAATAATGCATTACTGTTTTTTTTTGTTTTTTTAACAGCTTTATGACTTCTTATCTGTGTTGGCTCAAAGGTTAAGCACTAAATATAAATGTAGTTATTTAAAGAGGTGCTTTATGGTTATTTTGAGCTTCACGTTTTTATTCTTGGACTCTGTTAGAATAGATTTGCATGATACATTAAAAAAAAAGCAATTAGAAAGCTGTTGGAGTCATTCAGGTTATGATCTGTCACAAAAAAACATTTTAGCTCCTCAGCAGTGAAGCCACCTGTCTTCTGATTGGCTCCCCTTTGCAAACAGCATTGAACAGCAGGAGGGAGGGGCTTCTACGGTCATAGACCAAGCTGAGCGCCTGAGATGACCAGGCATTATGGCAAAATCCCCAGTTTTGCCACGATACAGAGCCAAGAACAGAAAAAAACACTGTCTGAAATGGAGCATTTAGAGCCATCCGAAGCCTGAGCTTTTGGCTCAGTGGGAATATTTGTACACTGACCTCATTATTTGAAGCTTTGGCTGTGTTCAAAGTGACCGTTCACCACAGTAACAGTGTATATCTGACAAAAAATAAGGAAAACGATCATAGGTACCCTTTAAAACTATTACTAAGAAATTAGAATGTAGATTCTTAAAGCAGATCAAGGCTGCTGTTGTCTTTTTTCTGGCATTGGTGTGAAGAATTAACATCATTTTACAAGATTAATTAGTTTAAAATTAACATGCTGGGAAGGTACATGCTTTTTTCCGTAGAGTTCACAGGAAATGAACTAAAAGTAATAGATTTCAATGTAATAGATGAAGAAATTTGCTAATTTAGTCTTTTTTCTCATTAAAACTTTCTCCTGTGATATCTTTGTGGCAGAAATGTAGAGAATCTTTCGGCGGGAAGATGTAAATAAATCTGTGTACATTTTAACCTAAAGAAAAATTAAACGGTGACAGTGTTCAAAGGGAGCAACTCAACAGAAAGACATAAAAAGCAGCAAGTGTTGATAGGCCTGGGGTTGTTTTCTGGAGACGAGCCAGTTTGTGTTCTCACTCCCGATTAATCGGCCCACAGTTCTCCTGGAACAGGACAGAGACTCGCATATCAGCGCAGTTATTTGCTGCCAGCAGGGTTTGAATGAAATTATCAAACGTCTAAATGAACTGAATTTAATGAGTAATGCTGCAGAGCCTGAATAAACCACTCGAGACGTACTTGATGAAAGGAAGCTTTAACCTTGGAGCCTGATTGCAAATCCTGTTTGCTGTTTTTCTTTTTTTAAAGTATGCTGCTCAGTGTCCGTGCAATGTTGCGTTCACAATGTAAAGCAGCTACTCCTGCTTATTAAGACAAAAATCACAAGAATTATATGTTTGTATCAGTTTGCCAGTGGCTGTGGGTTAAGATTTTTTCATGTAATACCTTCAGAATCTGACACTAGACAGAACTGGATCTTCACAGTCTGTTTTTTCAGCTGTGACAAAGCTGATGGTGTATCGTGGTTAATTGACTGTTACTCACTCTGTAGATAACACTCACTGGCACCAGTGTCAGCTGACATCAAACTGGTATTAGCTTTGCACTTTATTCAACCCATTATGAGCGCTCGTGTCTTCTGACACAGAGACAATATTTATGGATCCTTTAAAACACAAACAAAATCTCTTAATTTAAGCTTTACAAGTGGTTAATACAATGCACATCTAGTTAGTTATTTGCATTTCTGTTTATTTCTGATTAAAAAATTATTTGTGTTTGTCAAAAATACTCATGTTACCACAATGTTTGCTGAACATGTCTAAGACTTTGAAATCTGTGTATATTTTTTACTAGCCATTTTTGGATCTTTAACTTTGAAACCAGTAACTCACCAGGAAGGTTATCCAGGTCATGACTGGCTAGCCTCTACAGTGTTCCTCATCATGGCCGGAAACATGGAAAAGTCTTTATGTTTGTTAGTCAGTCTCTCCTCCCTGCTCACCTCTGCCTTCATCTGGCCAGCCAGGATACATGCATCGGTGAGTACAACTACGGTAAAGTGAGTACAATTACATATTTAATAGTATTTTAATGTAAATAATTAGGTTACCCTCCAGTGGTGCCTATAGACCGTGCATAAATATGGAAATCTGACAAATCTGACAGATCTGACAAACATCAAACATCTACCTTATAACTGACAAACTGTTACAATATGAGCATGTAGTGCCCTTCACTTTTTTTCTCTTAGCCACCCCTCACTTGTCAAAACCGGACTTAGTCTTTCATAATACCACTAATTGTATCTAAAATGTACTCAATGTGCTTTTCTGGTTGAAAAGCAGTGACAAAACATTTTCGGTCCTGATTTTAAGAAAAAAAAGATAAGCATAAATAAGTTAAAAAGCATAAATCTGTACAATTTAGGAAACTAAATGTAGACACTAACAGGCAAGACAACTGAGCTTTTAATACAAATGTAAAAAATATGTATAAAAAAATAAAATATGCAACAAAAAAACAAAAAACCCCACAACATTAAAAGGTAACGGAGAGTTATTTCAAAATCCAACTGATGTGCCACGGCAAATTATAGAAGCATGGCAGTAGTGGCTTTCTAAGCAGGTCAACTAGATGGAACAGTTAAGGACGCAGTTAATCAGGAAGTCAGACACAAAGAGCAACTAGTGAATTTCCTAACTAAAACACCCCTTTCCCACTTAATACTTCAGTTCTGAAACACTAACATTGCGATTTGTAGCCAGAATTGAGCAAAACCGCACTGCAGATGGATTATCACAGACCAGCACCTGGTGTATTCCCAGGATAAGATGAACGGACCGTCACCTAAAAGCAGCTGGTGATGTAAGTGGTAATTTTTGGAATTTAGGTAGAGAAAGATATTCAGAAAGGTTGCAGCAGGTTATCAGTGTGTGGAAGTGACTCATACAATATGGTGTTGTTTAATTTTAAATGGATGGATCCATTTAAAATTGGATTGGTTTGCTGGAGTGGGTCAGAAAAGTGTGTGTGGACAAAGCATAGCCTCGTACCAGTCAACAACACAGGTCTGAGTTGTGTTTGCTAAATTTAGGACAGATAAGTAAGGGTAGGGAAGGGTGAGGCCACAGCTGTATGCCTTCAGAACTACAATTTACATTATGACTGTCTGTAAGCACTGCAGTCAAATTGAACAGCCAGTTAGCTTCAGACAGCTTGTTTAAACAACCCGACACAAGAAAATTTGCCTGATCACTGTCTGGCTTCCTGCATTCTTCCAATACATGCCCTCCACTTTGACATAAATGTCTACATGTAGGGAGGTTTATTCCTCTTATCATCTCTGAGCCTATCTATGCTTGAATTTCTGTGTAGATTCTGTAGTGCGCTTTACATTTAGGTCATTTAGCTACAGACACTGGAACACCTATTAGCTGAAACATGTTTGTGGCTAACAATTCCTAACACAGACTTATTAGCCTAGATCTTTTTAATTGATAGAACATGTTTTAGATCTGTGTTATGTAAACTGCTGCAAACTTTACATTTTGACTTTCTTGGTATATATTTTTCAAGAATTCACACATTTTTCAAGACTTCTTTGACATGGTATCAAGAAGTTTTGGGGCCGCTTTTGGAGTAAATGTAAAACGGGCATTATAGTCTTTTCCTCCCACTTCCAAAAAAGAGGAAAATCACTTACACTATGATTAAAAATATTTACATTTTGGCAAGAACTGAGAGGAAAATGACGTCTGTTAAGTAAGATAAGACAAACTCTTTTTTTGTTGTTCTTTTATTCCCTCAGCAACCCCTGCATCTGGGCATTCATTTGTCTGTGGCTTAATTGGGTGACCCGTATGCTAAAAGGCTACTTTAGGTTGCCTTTGAGCCTGGGTTCAGTTCTGTCCAAGGCCATTTCCTGCTTTCGGTCCCTTCGTTCCTGCCTGTGCTGTTATCTTATCATAAAAATAATACAGGACCAAAATAAATCTTTGGGGAAAAAAACCTCCTACAGAAGTGAAGTTCAAACATTACAGAATCATATTTTTGTCTACAGTGATCCCTGTGGTGAATTTCCATCTAAAACATTGTCATGTGTGGCTTTACTGGACATAGTACTCCATGCTGTCCCTGCCCCTCAGTCCTAGTACTCTGGATGAGCTGTGTACAAGACACTGCTCCTTCAAATTTCAAACAGCTTGAAAGGCTGTCTCTGTGTTGTCCTCATTTAATCCCAACAACAAAAGAAAAAACAAACTTGAAAATGAAAACACGAACAAAAGGAGATAAATCATCTTTTTCATGACTTTCAGGTTTAGGCTGCGAGACAGCAGGAAAGAAAAACAGGAAAACAGGATATGAAATAAAAAGGCTGTGTAAGTATAATTGAGGGAAAGAGTTCAGCTGAGGGGAAGAAGTTTACAATGAAGTCTAGTTTCAATCATTCAAAATTGCGGAGGAGAGCTGAGGTGCTGAGATTAACTTTGCTATCATTATACCAGCCTCTATCATCTCATCGTCTGTCGTCAAAGTCAATTACGGCACAATGGGATTAGACCGAACGTGTTTTTTTGCTCTCAGTGCATTTGATGTAGATACAACTGCTGAATATCTCACGCAGCGGTTGGCCTTCACAAAGTGGTCGATTTCATCGATATCACGGAAATTTAAAAGGGCACAAATAATTAAGAGGCAGAGACAAATGGAAGAAATGTGGGCATGAATGCACACTGTTAACACGCACACCGGCACATGGCTGTGCACACTGCATGCTGTTTCTGATTGTTAAGAAGACTTTTTCCGCATAGCAGCATTGAATACAAAAATTAGAGCTTGCAAATACTGTTTTTGCTTTTTTTTATATATATATATTTCTCAGTTGTGTAAGTATGATCTAACATTATTTCAAAATCATTACCAAGAAAAGTCATGACATCAAGATGTTTTTGTTGTGACAGATCCATTTTTCTAAGGAAGTGGCTGAATCAGGAATCCCTCCTGTCTACTGGTGCACAGCTCACTACGTGGAGATGCTGCTGAAAGCTGAAGTTCCTCTAGTCCACTCTGCCTTCAAGATGTCTGGTTTCACCCCATCACAGGTATTATCTGTAACACTGGCTACATTAACAAATTTCAAAATTCCCAGTTTGATCCAGCACATTTGTAAATCAGCATGTTTTCAGTTTCTTGATTTTAATTTTTATTAAAACTAAATGTCATAGTTTTATGACATTTAGCAAGTTCACACATAATACCTGATTAAAATTTGTCCAATTTCCCCATAAAGATAATCTCCTTGTGCACCTTATTATTTTTAGAGTGATATAAAAGTAGAGTGCCATAGGATCACAAGCAGAATTGCTCCTCATAGAGGTAGAAAGGGACATTTATCTACTATTTATCTGCCATCTACAGATTTCACTATTGTCTTACTCTGCAGGCTTATGTCTGCCAATTCTGCTTTAGGGCCTTCAGAGCCTCTGAAACACACAAACCAGACTGGTCATTAACCAGAATGACTTTGCAAACTTTGCAGCTTAAAGGTTTAACTGATATATTTGAGGGGAAAACTAAAACCATTGCTAGTATAATTTCAGTCTTTTGTTTTAAAACACAATGCATATGTAATGTTTCAGTGGCAAAAAAAGATCAGTTTCCACTGGATTCTAAATATGACAGCTCAATCATTGTTGGTGAAGCATGAATTTTAAATTATGCTCTCTACTCATTTTCTGCTGTATTATGGGTAAATGTTAAAGATGAAATATTCTTAAACTAGGAACAAAATCTTGCACACTCTCCCTGTGACTTGCTCTCACTTTATTAACAGTATTATGCATTCTGCTAAGACCTGAAGTCCATATAATTTAAATGTACTGTAGCAGTGGCATGTTTAGCATTCCAAAACTAGTTTAGGTGTTTATTGTGTTCACCTCTGTTGGTTTTTATTCTGTCCCCTAACAGCTATTTAACTGTATTAGTTTTTACAGTCTGAGCTGTGCACTGCACACTTGCGTGGTTTCCTATTAAGCAAACCTGTTGGGAAGGAAAAAAATATGTAACTATCAAAAATCCACAATGATATCAGATACACACTGCGAATTGTCAAGGTCATACAAACCCAACGAACACAACTGATTTCTGTCATAAAATTCAAGCAGCAAAGTAGAGAAGGTTTGCTTAAAAACTGCTGCTGAAACCAAACACACTATGTAACCAACTGAAGTGATAATGTGAACACAGACTCACATCATTAGGAGTCACAGAAAGTTAAAGTCAGGCTAATGAAGTCTGTGAAGATAATATTTACTTGGCTGCAGTCTTTTAGTTTTCAAATAAGGAATAGTTTGGTATCTTGGAGTAATAACCTTGGTTTTCTTAGATCAACAAAGGATAATCATGAATATTAATGGAAGGAATAAAAGAAACTGAATTTGGAACAGAAATGTTCAGTTTCAGCTAGACTGCAACTATCTACAGCAAGACAGACAACAGTCTGTTAAGTTTTTTGGATGCTGTATATATTTAATAAATCAGGTTGCAAAACCTTTCATAACCATACTTGTTCTTGCCCTGTAATTGACCTCCTTTTTCATTTTGCTTTGACTTAAGTCGAATTTAAAATACCACAATACAGCTTTGACATTGAAACCTTTTTCCCTTTGTTTTTAAATACCAGAGCAGTTGAAAAGTTAGAACTCTTCTCCTCCATGCTTCTTTTCTCTAACGCAAACAACGAGGTACGAAAAGCATTTTCACCTTGAACGCTCTCATGTTTGATCTCGTCTTCCGCGTGTCTCCAGTTGACAGTGAAGGCTCACACAATGAACGCGTGCTTATAAAAGTCGCCACATTTGCATCAAAGATCTGAACCCGTCGTCTCCGGGGTGGAGTAATGCGTTTACATTCAGCTGGTCTCTTTGCTGTTCAAGGCAATAATGGGCTCCTGTTCTTCAGTGAAAAATGGAAAACTCTATTTCAAAAGTTTGAACTTTAAAATCCTGACAAAGCAGCAGTGGCAAATGAAGCATTAAAAGCCTCTGACGATCATACAGTAAAGGGTGTATTCAAATGTCTGTGTGTGAACGTGGACACAGAAGTCATTCAAAATCCATCTGCAGAAGGTTTTAACGTTTGAATCGGGAGTGTTTGTGACAGGTATCATGAAACAAAGCATTAGTAAGTGTCTTCAATTTTAAAAATGAAAAATAAAAAACATCTTCTAAGGTCATTCTGCAGAGTGAAAATCATGTGCAGCAAAACTACAGAAAGTTGTGACATGAATCTGAAGCTCTCCTCAGTTTCACAGAACTTTATAACTATAAGGCAGAAAACAGGCACAGTTATCCACACCCTGGTGAACAGAATGGCGCTTGCTCCTCCAGGTATCACCTCTGGAGTTAGTTGACACCCAAAAATTGAGCTAAAGGTAGAATTATTCCCCAAACACTTACAGAAACATGACCCCAAATACTTAACAATGTTTTCCCATAAAGGCTAGAGGTTTTAGAAGACAAGTTAGCTGAAACACTCCACTGTAGATGGAGTGCAGAAAAAAGAAGCCATAAACACAACATTGACATAAAATGTTAGGTGAATGTAAGACACAGAGCCGGATTAATTGGATCACATTCCTGTTTCCCTCAAGAATTTGAAGTAGTTGTTCTCATCTCTCTGTTTCTTGGTTTTGGTATCTACCAGTTTGCGAGGCGGATACAATGTTGACATTTTACCTGCTACTTTAAAAATCTCGTTGTAACAATAAAATTAAACAACAAATTCATGAAAACTCATTCAGAGCAGTGATGTTAAGGGCATTCAAACCAAAACATTGATCCTAAAGATGGTAAAACAGAATTGCAACACTATTCAAGGTCTTCTGTGCATCACTGAATGGAGACCCCTGTTAGCAGATATTTGCAATGCTTACTTTTGGTTGGGGTGTTTCTGACTCTGTGGCCTCACTTGTAGTTGTCAGTTCAGATATTTGGGAGAAGAAAGGTTAAAATAAATGAATAAATAAATAGATTTACATTCACCTTATGCTCTCGAGTTTGGGCTAAAAGGAAATAAGATGCACTTGGAAAACCTTGGATAGATTTACAGTCGCAGTAAGAACACTGTATTTGTCTGTTTACTTGTTTTCCACAAGAGTGTGTAAGGGCAGCATGGAGCCAATCATTCCCTGTTGTTATTACAACACACAAATTAGAGTGTCAGTGTTTTGATTAGAGTTTAGTGGAGGAGGGAACAATTGTAATCTGGTTTATGGGGCATAGGTTATGCATTTCTATACGCTTGAGCAGAGTTATGTTGTTTGTGAACATAGTGGCTAATTATTGCACAGTTTGTGAAACTGGATACACAGTGAGGATGTCTAGTTCAGTAAGGCTAAAGGCTGCTAACAATATCCCAGTTGTATTCAAGCACAGCAGAGCTGAGATTAAGGTTTATGAGTTGAGGATATGTAAAGTCATGTGGACTCTTTGTAGTCATGTGAAAAACTAACTACACCCCATGATTCAGTAGCTTGCAGAACCACCTTTACTAGCAAAGACCTGAAGGAATCCTGACTTTACATCATTGCAGAGGTATATTGTCATGTTCAGGATTTGCAGGCATAAAGTTTAATATTCTTCAAGTTAACTGAGGCCTGCAAAGTCAGTTTCTTTTTTTGCATTGCATGAGCATTGCACTAATTGCATGGGTGAATCTGCTCGAACATCTAATCCTGGGAAAAATAGCAATTGTTTTACCTGTTTTCCCACTTGAATTTAAAAAAATTAGCAAAAACTACCAGACAGGCCCGTTATTAGTGATTAGGTAATAATGAAAATAATAATTATTATTTGCTTTTTTTTTTCCCTACATGGTTCTGCAATTTGATTTTTAATATAAATCCAGTGCACTGCTCTTCTTTACAGTTGTGTGTCTTTGCTTCATCCAAAAAGCTCAAATGATGATAGACAGATGATAGACAGTGAGCAAGTACTGACTGGAACAGAGGTGCTATTTGTTTAATTTCTTACATTTTCTGTGTCTGGGGGTTTATCCCATGTCAACACATCTGTGGCTACTTTCCAAGTTCTCCTATGGTGGGGAAAAGCTTTTTTAATTTTCAGTTGAATTACACTTAAATTTCCCAATTCCTTTTTTTCCTCTTTTTAAATAGATGCATGATTTGTTTTCCCTCAAAACTGACAAAAATAGTGATTAGCATAATTGAGTAACCGCTATTCCATAATGCCTCAGTTTTTCAATCTTAGTAGTTATAATGTTGAATGGAGCCTATCCCAGAGCGGTGAGAGGAGGGGTACACCCTGGATAGGTTGCCAGTCTGTCACAGGGCTAACACAGACAACCATTTGCACTCACATTCAATCAGCACAGATGGGCCCTGGACAAATGCTGGATTCGTACCCAGAACCTTCTTGCTGTGAAGCAACAATGCTAACCACAGCACCACCGTGCTGCTGTTGTTCAGTATATATTTACTGAATTTAGGGACTCTGTTAAGATTTGGAAAAATACACTGCTGTAAATATATCTAACTTTTTAAAATTAACATTCGGCCTATGTCATCAGTTGGTAAACACGCTCTTTTCTAAAGATGATGTAGAACTCTGTGTTCTTTTCACTGAGATCAGGTGGGAATCCCATCATGAACCACTGCATTAAGGTCACTAATTTTAACTCAGTCATCAACTGGAGAAGTAAACATTAGCATGCATCTCCATGTCTCTTTGTCCCATAATGCAACCTCAGTATTAATGTCTGCAGAGAGTTTGTGAATATTTTTTCACTCTCAAAGTAAACATGTTTCCTGGAAGACTCAGAAAGCTGAGCAAATGAAATACATTTAGACACTTGCACAAGAAATGTAAACTCATTGTCCATAAACCCAACCATGCAAATGTGTATTTTAAGAGATTATCAACCTTTTTTTTTCACTTTGTGTGTAAATAGAAATCTAAACAGGTTTTCAGCTTTATAGTAAATGTAGTAGAAGCTGTTGTTTATTAGACATGGATGTGCTGAATTGCCTAGCACAAGTGCCTTTTTGTAGTTATTGAGCTACATCTTGTATCCATGTGTTTATATTAACATACCTTTTGTTTCATTGCAAGGCAAAAAGAGAGAAATAACCTGCAATACGAACAAAGACTAGTTAGTTCCCAATGATGATATTCAGATCTCACAAACGCACATATATAGTATGAAACAGATAACTTTAGATAATTGTAGTAGATGGGTGCCATTTCAGATAAACATGACTTAATATTTATCATTTGTGCTTCCATGGTTTTGTAACTACATGTAAATATTTTTCTGTGTTTGCTTATCATTTATGTTCTCCTTATTTACATTTAATTGTCTGGTGGATTTATACCAGTTTAATTAAATGCTTGAACAAGCTCGGTTCAGAAACGAGATACTGTGCAAAGTTGTGTGTTAAGTTGGTTTGTTTTTAAATATTTGATCGACAAAACTAATTAAAGAAAAGCTGAAAAGATATTAAGGATGAGATGTCTGAGTAACATATTTCTTTTTTTATGTAGTTACAATAGCTGCCAAACTCATAGTTTGCTGTTGTTGTAGAGCAGAACACTTTTAATTACATGTGGGGTTCGCGATTTGTCAGCTTGAAATCCTAATAACGTTTGTTTTTTCTCTTTTTTTTCCCACTACAGATGTGCCTCCATTGGCTGACTCAGTGTTTCTGGAACTACCTGGACTGGACAGAGATCTGCCACTATATTTGCACCTGTGTGGTGATGGGTCCTGACTACCAGGTTTACATGTGTGTGGCCATATTTAAGCACTTGCAACCAGACATCCTGCAGCACACACAGTCCCAGGAGCTACAGATCTTCCTCAAAGTAAGATGGAGTCAGAACTACAATATACATGCAATATTTTACTAACAGAACATACTCAGATTCACCTTAAATCTCTATGGTAGCCTTGTTAATTACTATATGTAGGTATGTCAAAGAGGAACAAGTATCCAGTTTTCTGTAGTTTTCCCTCAAAAATCTGTGTTCTGTGAAACCTCGAACACCTCTGCAGGTAAATACACTTACCTGCTACTTTGTTCCATCTAATCAGAAAAATCAAGTACATTTGAATTCATGTAGGAAGTTCTTTCGGGCGATCGTGGCTCAAGAGTTGGGAGTTCGCCTTGTAATCGGAAGGTTGCCGGTTCGAGCCCCGGCTCCAACAGTCTCGGTCGTTGTGTCCTTGGGCAAGACACTTCACCCGCTGCCTACTGGTGGTGGTCAGAGGGCCCGGTGGCGCCAGTGTCCGACAGCCTCGCCTCTGTCAGTGCGCCCCACGGTGGCTGTGGCTACAATGTAGCTTGCCATCACCAGTGTGTGAATGTGTGTGTGAATGACTGGATATGTAAAGTGCTTTGGGGTCCTTAGGGACTAGTAAAGCGCTATATAAATACAGGCCATTTACCATTTACCATTTTTTGCTTTGCTTTTCACTTTCGGTATTCTCTCACTCTGCTTCATATGCTTAATATTTATAAAAAATGATCTTGGTCTTGTGTTTCTTAGCTTAAACACTTTGATTCTTGTTGGTCTCTTTCACTAGTATTGGTTTATTTGTAGCAGTTTGAGGGCCAAATTCTTCTTCCAAAACTTAATGATGAGATGTGTTTGCTATTTGAACTCTGGGAATTATTGATGTGGGCTCTAATCTGATGTTGGGTAACTCTAATGAACTGATGCTCTGCAGTAGAGTGAACTCTTGGCCTTACTTTCCTAGGAACGTTCCTCGCGAGAGATTCATCACAGTGTTTGATGATTCTTGAGACTGCAGAGACTTTAAACACATTATTGAAAACTATTTGAGGTAAAGAAGGTTTTTAAGAATGCAAAGTTATCTTTTCACTTTTTTCAGCAAACATAATAAAGAGCTTTGACAGGTCCCTGGTTTGTTTTTGTAATCATACCATTAGATCTGTGGCCATATGTCTCAGGTGAAGAGAAGAGCAGAGCTGCTAATCCCCTGGTGGTAGGGAAGGTTGCTAGACAGGCTTCGAGTATCCAAATATATAGTGAGATTGCATTTGGAATGACCTCCACAGGCCCCAGTCTGCAAAGATCTTTAATGTCCACCCCCAACAGAGCTGGGCTCATCAAGTCCAACATTAAGTCACAGACTTCAGCACTTGGTTTCCATGGCAAAGTCTATGTCCGGGTTATGGACAGATGATTCCACCCATCAGTCAAACTTCAGATCCAGGAGGAAGAACGCTGTGGGCAATTTGGGATCTATAGCTCGCTGTGGTCCCTCCAGTGCCGTAGTGAGCGCTTTGTTCGTATTTCCATCAGTAAATCAGACCCATTCCAGACCTTTGGGAATTAGGCAACTCTGCCGGGGCTGACCAGTGATGGATCCACTGATGGATGGATCAATCCATTAATCGTGATTGACAGTGACAGTATAGCCTGATGTGCACTTTGCCATAAATGTAACTATACATCACAGCTAACCATGCCACACCACCTTTGACTGGAAGATATTGATTTTTGTAAAGGTAATGCTTCTTTGAAAGAAACTGCAATATATAATGAGGCGCAAATGTATCTGGCTTGCCCCTAATTCATACCGAATAGGCAGTACTGCCAGCATAGCAACATGCCGTTTTCTCATTTTCGTAACTCTACCCAATCCGGTCTTTACTTGATTGGTTCTGACATATTCTCTTTTTTTTCAGTGTTGCAACAATTTCACTAAAAGTAACTGTTGTTAAACATTTATAAACTCAAACTCCAACCCGGTCAGCTCAGTTTCATTCTCTATTGTTTGAAGTAGACATCAAACTCAACACAGTGACATAGAAACTCCCCTACCAGCCACTGTAGACAAACATAAACTATAAATGCTTACAATGACGTCAGCCACCTGCGTAGGCTACCGCATATATTTCAACACAGGAATACAAATGTAAGTTTATACATTTGTCATTGTGAATCTGGTAAAGTGTTATAAAGGTTGTCCATCAAATGTAATCATTCATTTCCGATTCACATATAATAAATAATTCATTTAAAAAAACTTCACTTTTAGAACATGTTCACACATCCTCCCACTGTGTTGTATTTCACTGAAACAAAGTCTGTTCATTAAAATGCATTCTGCATGGTGGATTGGATGAACTTTATATTTCAGAGCTTTCACAAAAGGTCTAACGTCACGGTCTCAGAGATACTTCTAATATCCAAAGCAACATGGGCACTGACATGAAGTACTCATCGTCATTACTCATTAAGCATTTTGATCCGTCTTGTCTCTGCCTTATAGCTCTGATGTTAACACCGGCATGAGCTGCCGCTGACAGTTTTTCTGAATAAAAGATCAGTTATGGAAGCTTTATCTGAGGAAGTTCCTCTAATGAGCTGTAGCATCAGATACTGCTGCAAAAGGCGAGCTTTGAGACAGTCTGTGTGTTTGTGTCTCTGCATGTTTGTGTATGTGTGTGTGTGTGTGTGTAAGAGAGAAATTTACTATTCCTGTCCTGAGCTGAACTGTTAAAAGTTTTAGACATGCTGGTTTGCATCCAACGGCTTTATCTTTCTTCTTTTCCTCTGACTCTCTCTGTGGGAACAATGTAAAGGGAGTATTTCACCCAGACAGATGCGGTACTAGAGGATTTTTAAAACATTCACGCACACTTGCTCTCCTCTACACTCATCCTGTCTCACTAGGGGGTGTATCTTTATTTCATCTAAATTAAAATTTGAAGAGGCAAATGACTTGTTACAAATGCTCTGTCTGGCTAGAGTTAAACTGCAGTGATGCTGAAGTGGTGAGTGGAAAAGCAGACAGAAAAAGAAAGACTGTTTGCCACTGACTCAGAGACGACATGAAACTGCCCATTCATATGTGTGGTATTTGGGGAAATATGTTTCTGCCAGCTGACATCTATTGGTGATATCAGTCTTACTTTGGTGCAGACCACAGTAGTATTTTCTTTTTTTTTTTTATTGACATTTTAGAATCACTATACAATGCCATCAACTTCAGCTATCTTTCAGTACATATATTTTTTTCTTTTTTTCTATATTCAAACAACTGAAATATCCATACAATAAGAATGAAAGAAGAAAAGAAAAAGAAGCAAAACAGGAAACAACAAACAACATAAATAAAAAATACATAAGGAAAAAGAAAAAGGAAAAATAAATAAATAAATAAATATAGGGAGTGTGTTTTTGTTTCCCTTAATATAACTAATATTTCCTCTAGTCTTCTAGTAGTTAACAAAGTCAAAATTATAAGCAAAAACTGGCCTGCGTTTTCTAATATAGTCCATCCATTTCTTCCATCGTGATACAAACAGGTCCCTCTTGTAGTTCACATCTGCTGTCATTTTCTCCATTCTGTAAATGTCCAATGTGATGTTCATCCACATGTTCATAGTTGGGCTCTCTGAAGAAAGCCATTTTTTTGTGATGGCTTTTTTGCCTCACAGTAGTATTTTCATGTTGCCTACTCATGAACCTGCTTCTCCTACATTTTAGGTTTCCCTCCTGTTTTATTATGCATTTGCATTTATTTTATACTGCATACAATTTCAAGACACCTGTCAATGCAAAGAGTGACAAATTGTGTCCAGGTCAGGGACAAATTGCGTCCAAAGTACATTTTTAAGTATCCCGGCTGAGATCCCAGTTAAAATAAGCTTCTCTAAAGGCTGGCTGGCTTCTCCTTCAGAGATGAGGTGAGGGTTTTGGTCATCCAGGTGGTTGGGCATCAGACTGGCATGCCTTCTAGGTGCCTCCTGGATAAGTTGTCCTACCAGTAGGAGGCCCTGGGATAACCTGGACATGTTGGAAAGATATGTCTTTCAGCTGCCCTGGGAACCCCTGAGTGTTCCCTCAGATGAGCTGGAAGAGGGGGTTGGGTAGAAGATGAGCTGGGCTTCTCTACTTAGACTGTGCACAGACAAGAGAAAAGAAGAGAGGAAATATAGATGGATGTGTTTATATGCAACCTGACAACCCAAAGCCTAAATTTCAGGGGGTGTGCAGCTGCTCTCTAGAGAGGCAGTCTGTTCAAAATACTCAAAGTAGTCCACAAATACATGCAACAGGTAATTTCAGTCCAAATCTAGAACCAAACCTCAACCACCTCTTCAATCTGTTGATTGTACATCCCATGGTACATCTGTCTCTAGCAACTCATCTTATGGGGCAATCATCCTGAAATATTCATGGTTTCCCCTCGTTTGTGCTCTGACACTCACTAATTCTCAGCTCTCATTTTCCAACCCTCAGGGTGCTAGACTTTGGGTGGAAATCTTTGTGCATTGAGAGTTGTTTTCATGTCTCGACCTCAGTGTCTGTCTCCCCCTGTGGCCAGGTTATCATTCCAACCAGTAGGGCTTATGTTTTATTCATACAGTTAACTGGATTCTCAGCACCCGTCTTACCTACTGAATATGTTTGGCTATTAGGGGACCTTCTTGCATCTTCACCATGATTCCCTTTGGACTGTGGGACACTTAGACACTTGTAGTTGTTTTGTATTTTCGATAACTCCACCTATTTAGTCTTGATCAGCTTGATAGCTTTACTACCATTCAACCACAAATATTCAGTCCTCTTCCTGAAAAAAGTTATTGGGCCACTTCATATATTTCCAAGCACTTCAGTTTGTCTTGTGGGGATCCTTCCTGATCAGGATTATTCTGGCTCGTGTCAGCTAGTCTTCCCATATGGAAAAGAAATAGTAAAAACTTATATGTGATTACTCATGAAAGTGGCCACTTTCATGAGTAATCACACCCCATGGATGGGCGGTATCAAATGACGTTTACTCTTTAAAGGTCTTTTATGTTTCATTAAGTTTCATTATATAATTT